ACCACACACACAACCAGACCCCCACCTGTGTGTGCGACGTGCAGGCGAAGCGCCGGTAGTAGCCGGGGTCGCAGGACGTGTCCTCCAGGCAGAAGCTGGCCTTGTGGCCCTCGGCCACCTGCTGGTAGGTGCGGGCGTCCAGCAGCTCGTACAGGCTGAACTCGTCCATGCTGTGGAAGTGACTGGACAGCAGGACAAGGCGGGTCAGAGGAGGAACCGCCCGCAGGCAGGGCCCCAAAAGCCGTCAGATTTAGAGGTAAAGCCCCCAAAAGCTATAAGCTTTGGAGGGTTAGGGTTAGGGTTAGGGTTAGGGTTAGGGTTAGGGTTATGCCCAAAAACATACACATACCACCCACAAACTAAAACCCTGACCTTCAAACGTACACAAAATAATTAACACATGATTAAATCACCAAAAACATACGTGTTTAACCCCAAAAACACAAAAAACAGAAAAAAGCGAAAAAAGCGAAAAATTTAAAATAACATAGAAAAAAACCAAAACTTAAAAACACCTTCCTTTATCACAAAATCATAGAAAAACACCCCAAAACCAGAAAATAAACACCTAAACACACACCTTTAACTTACCGTCAAACACCAACCCCTAAACTCACATTTTTTCTAACAAAAACCAAACAAAACCACACACGAACAACTTAAACACATTTGACCACCACCCAAACTCACAACATCCACCTCCTAACAAAATGACACAAATGCTAACAACAACTACAACATAAAAAACACACTACTCAACATTAACCTCAAACCTACTTTAAAACACCAACCATGGCCACCAGATGGGGCCAAACCAACCCAAACACGCAAAATCAAATACATGAACTTCTTCCAAGAATACAACCACCTTCAAAAAACACAAAAACTAACAAAGATATCCCAACAACATCCCAAAAATATATATACAAACTTCCCACCTTTCAACAAAATAAACACTAATAACAATACTCCACACATACCACCCACGAACATCAACTTCGCACTCCCAAAACTTACAAAAGATTAAATCACACACAACTGACCACCAAAAAACTCACATTCTTCCCAACAAAAACAAAACCACGAAAAATAACTTAAACACATTCATCCACTACCCATACTCACAACCACAAAACTTACAAAAACCAATAAAATTAGAAAAGTTGAGACGTCCGTCAGGATCTCGAGCGAGAATGCGCAACTGGTGACCCAATACCCTTGTGTGAGGGGACCCAGCACAGGTGACAGTCCTTTTGGACTTGCTAACCACACCTCTGACCCGGCCCCCAAAAGCTTACCCACACGTGGTTTTGCCCACAAAAGGTTTCACCTCTAGATGGTTTGAACCACAGATGGTTTAAGCCAAAAGAGGTTTCACCTCGGAATGGTTTCACCCACAGATGGTTTGACCCACAAATGGTTTGACCCTCAGATGGTTTGACCCTCAGAGGATTTGACCCTCAGATGGTTCGACCCTCAGATGATTTGACCCTCAGATGGTATCACCCTCAGTTTCTGAGGCAAAGCCCCCAAAAGCTGTCCCTTTGGAGGTAACTCCTGAGTGGAGCACCCCAGGGCTCCGCTCTGGAGCCCCTTTGTATCCGCCAAAGCTTTTATTTGGTGTGTGTTTTTGCTTTTTTATATATGGGATGTTTGGGATTATTGGGAAAGAAGAAATAAAGAAAAATTATACATAAATACCAATTAAAAGTAAAAATCTTGGATTTCTTGCATATGCACATATATGTAAATATCCTTCTTTTTTCTTTGACCTTTGACCTATTGGCCACATCGCAGACGCTATCAGACACTACTGTTTAAATCGCAAGGAAAATGCTTTTAGACATTTTACACCAATCAGGTTCTGATTGTGGAATTAAAATGTTGTAAATAAGTCGTTTGGACCACCAGAACCAAATGACTTAAATACTCTAAACAGACATTTCAAATCTAAAGATAAACCCACTGAGCCTCTATGAAGAAAAACTACCTGAACCAGGACAAAGTCTGGTTCTTAAACTTATCAGCTCCTCCTGTTCCACAGATCTGGAACAGAGCAAAAACACCAAAATAAAAGCTTTGGCTCTCAGGAGGCTAAGCAAAGTGTATATTTACACTGTCATGCTACAAAGCCCCCCACAGAAGCTCCCTTAGAGCCCCAGACTGGTGTTTTCTGGAGTATTTCTGCCCAAACTGAGCAGTGAATCCATCGGGGGGGGAGCCATCCCTGCAGCTCAGCCACAGAAACTGAAATTATCGACTGTTTTTATTCTTTTTAGTATTAAAACTTTGAAAATATGCTAAAATCGTACGAAATCTGTGCTGTTCCATTGGGTTCTTTATCGTTTCGGCTGATGTAGAAAATTTTTTTATGAGCCTCCAGCTGAGATCCAGATGTTTCTGTGCATGACGGGGCTCCAAATGCTAAGAAATGAGCCTTTTAATGCCATGTCTGGCCTCTGTGAGTCTGTGGCTGAGCTGAGGGTCATGCTGCCCTGAAGAAGACACACAACCTGACACATAACAAGACACACAACCAGACAAACAATCGGACACACAACAACACACAAAACCGGACACACAACCAGACAAACAACCAGACAAACAACAAGACAAACAACCGGACACAAAACCGGAAAAACAACCAGACATGCAACCAGACACACAAAAAGACAAACAACAAGACAAACAACCAGACAAGAAACAAGACAAACAACCAGACAAAAAACAGAAAAACAACCAGAGACAAAACAAAACAAACAACAAGACAAAAAAAATAGACAACAACCAGACACAAAACTAGAAAAAAAAAGACCATGAAAAAGTCAAACAACCAGACACAAAACAAAACAAACAACAAGACAAAAAAACAGACACAAAACAAAACAAACAAGACAAACAAATAGACAAACAACCAGACACACAACCAGACACAAAACAAAACAAACAACAAGACAAAAAAAATAGACAACAACCAGACACAAAACTAGAAAAAAACAGACCATGAAAAAGTCAAACAACCAGACACAAAACAAAACAAACAACAAGACAAAAAAACAGACACAAAACAAAACAAACAAGACAAACAAATAGACAAACAACCGGACACAAAAAAAAACACACAACCAGCCCCCCCCCCCCCCGGTTTTCCTACTTGTGACAGCTGTGCCACTCCCAGGCGTAGCGCGGCTTGCTGGGCAGGAAGTCGGCGGTGCCCTGGTTCTTCACCTTCTGGGGGAAGCGCAGCAGCACCCGGGTGTCGTAGTCCTGAGCGTAGCGCGCAGAGCTGAGGGACACACAAGCAGATCCAGTTAGCTTCACAAAAGACACACAACCAGACACGCAACCAGTCACATAACCAGAACCACAACCAGGTAATCAATCAACCAGACACACAACCAGACACACAACTATATACACAACTATATACACAACTAGAACCAAAACCAGGTAATCAATCAATCAGACACACAACCAGACACACAACTATATACACAACCAGACATAAAACCAGGTAATCAAATCAACCAGACACACAACAAGAAACACAACCAGACACATAAACAGACACACAACCAGACATAAAACCAGGTAATCAAATCAATCAGACACACAACCAGACAAACAACCAGACACATAAACAGACACACAAAACCACCTAATCAAATGAACCAGACACACAACCAGACACACAAAACCAGGTAATCAAATCAACTAGACACAAAACCAGAAAAATCAGACACACAACCAGAACCAAAACCAGGTAATCAAATCAACCAGACACATAACCAGACACACATCCAGACACACAACCAGACACAAAACCAGACAAACAACCAGTCACACAACCAGACACACATCCAGACACACATCCAGACAAACAACCAGTCACATAACCAGACACACATCCAGACACACATCCAGACACACAACCAGACACAAAACCAGACAAACAACCAGTCACCTAACCAGACACACAACCAGACAAACAACCAGACACACA